TCAAATGGTAATTTTTTTTTTTACAGGTACTTAGTTAATGGCCCCCCCCACATTATTTTTAGGGTGAGGGGGGCAGGTATGGGTTAGGTTTTTTTTGGGAGGGGGTGACTAAGGGTTTGGGAACCCCAAGTCACCTGGGGGGGTAACATTTTTTATATAGGGCCCCCACCCGCCATTCAGGGGTTGGGGCCAGGGGGGAAGACAATAGGTCCCTCCCTTATTGGTATTTAGGGCCCCCACCCGCTGTTCAGGGGTGGGGGCCAGGGGGGAGGACATTAGGTCCCCCCCTTTTTCTAATTTAGGGCCCCCACCCACCGCTCAGGGGTGGGGGCCAGGGGGGAGGACATTAGGTGTCCCCCCCTTATTTTACCTTAGGGCCCACACCCGCCGTTCAGGGGTGGGGGCTGGGGGGGGGACAATAGGCCCCCCCTTCAGGTTAGAAGCCCCTATTCGCGCGGCTAGGGAGGGGGACCTTTTTTTTTTTTTTTTTAGTGAGCAGGTATAGCGAGTAGGGGCATAATTTACTAATACTAAGTAATCTTTACTTAGTATTAGTATTAGTAAATTTGTCTGAAAGACCAATTTAGGTCTTTCAGCCTTTTAGTAGATAGCTCCCTAATACTGTGGGAATTAGGGAGTTATCTACTTATTCATTCCTGTCATTACATTGACTGGCTAAGTAATTTACATTTTATATGAATGTATGTTACTTGATTGTTGTAAGTGTTGCAAATGCTTACAGCTGAACCCTGACTATGTTTGTATACTTTTTATTTAAAATTGTATACAGTGTAACATTTTTCATTCTTCCACTGGGTAAGTATATTAGTTCTTAGGCAATACTGTGCTTCGGAACTTTGGCACTTTGGAACTTAGGAACTTCGGGACTTTGACACTTCAGAAATTCGGTAATTTCGGAACTTTGGGACTTCGACAATTCGGCAATTCATCTATTCGGACATTCAGAAGTACCCGAATGTCCGAATTGCCCGAAATTGAAACAAATTGCACATGTCTAAAATGGGGCACATATCAATTGGATCACAGTTGACCTCATCCAAATGTACCAGTTTCGGGATTCATTGTGGTCAAAGTTTAAGAGTACTGGCTCTATGAACGATCACGGTGCATATAGACAATGGCGAAATATATGCACAAAACAAACAAAGTTGGCCAAGGCCCAATATTTCTGTGAAAATCTAAACAATAACATATCAAACCATAGAAACTTTTGGAAAGTAATAAATAAATTACAAAGAACCTGAAAACATTGTATATAAGGCGCTTCACAATACCAAGATTAATGCCAGCAGCTTTAGCACTGTCATTGGATATCCCAATGATCCACTAAAAAAATGGATATATACAAAAGGGTGGACTCCCAAGGTTAGGTGATATACCCAACACCTGACACACAGAGTCCCAAGGTGCAGTGCTAATTTAACTTACCCCTTAATGAGTTATGGGGAAAATTTCTCACATGTAAAAGAAATAAAGGAAATACAATAGTATAATACTGTATGTTTAATTGGCATATATAGTATAAGTGAGTATATACATAAACTCACATTTTTCTGAGCCTTTTTCAGCATCGGCTCAGAACAAGAAGTGGGTCTGGATTTTTAGGTGCACCAGAGGACCTTCTTCTGAATGTTCACTCCTCGTTATAAATATGGGGATATAAACAAAAAGAGCAACAATCTAGGCAGAAACATTTCCCCAAATTGGCAGAGTTAAATATATAAATGACCTGCTCACCTTAGAAGGAGCCTGTTTGGTAACTGGCTCCTAAAAAATCCGCTTGGTGTCACTTATAGGGGTGACACTACCCTACAGGGAACCGGATCCAAGTAGGAGAGTAGATGGAGAGCTTGGTTAAGATAAAACTTTAATGTAGCAAAAACAATAAAAACTAAATTGTAATATATAAATATAAAAGTATTTTCTTTAAAGTCTCCTCTGCATCCAAGATGCGTTTCGCCACTATCATGGGCTTTTTCAATCAGTGTTTTTTTAAATTACAAACTCCCCTAATCCACCCCCAACCCTCCACTGTCAAAGTGGATAACCAAACCCTGCAACTTCCCTTAGATGTAGCAAATACCTTTAACAGTTATTTTGCCGGATGCTCCACTGCCCTGATTGCCAAGCTAATAAATGACAAACATCCGGAAACTACAAATGTGGACCAGGCCCCACTAAATTTGTAAAGACCCAATATAGACAAGTTCAATTTTAGATCTGTACCCATTACTGTCATTAAGAAACACCTTAATAATTTAAAAATGAAAAACTAGTCTGGACCTGATCAAATCCCAGCAATGCTGGATACATACCCAAACTTTGGAAGACTGCAAGAGTAGAGCTTATCCATAAAAGTGGTGACACTACTTTGGTTTCTAACTATTGCCCAATATCATTGCTTCCAGTATTGTAAATAATTTTAGAAAAATGCGTCCATACGCAACTATGTGAGTATTACCAACAATCTAACTATCTGAACCCTGATGAATCGGGTTTTCGCCCGAATCACTCCACTACAACTGCCCTTTTAAAAGTTTGCAGTGACATCCAAGCTGGCATGGAACAAGGAGACGTCACTGGAGCTATTTTCCTTGATTTTGCAAAGGCCTTTGACACAGTAGACCACGACATTCTACTGCACAAACTAAAAAACTCAGGTATTGGTGATTGTCCGCTTGCCTGGTTTCGATCATATGTATCGGATTGCTCACAATATGTGTCCATTTCTGACAGCGACTCCCTCCCTCTCCCAGTCATGTGTGGTGTACCCCAAGGTTCCATTTTCGGCCCCCTACTATTCACATTATTTCTAAATTATCTGCCTAATGTTTGCAAATCCTCAAATGTACACATGTACGCAGACAGCACCGTAATCTATGCAAGCAAATCCAATCTACCGCAGCTTGAGGCTCCAAGACCAGTTTACAGAGGTAGAAAAGTGGATCTCAAAAAACAAACTCTTCCTAAACACTGACAAAACTGTCAAAATGATCTTTGGAACAGTACCTAAATAACACAATTCCCACCTATCCATCAAAACAAAATCAAATATCAAACTGACTGCAGTCCACTCTTTCACATACTTAGGTATGTTGTTATACCCCAATCTATCTTTTGGCCTCCACATAGAAAAACTTGCATCTAAATGTTATCCAAAACTAGGTGCCCTGTACAGAAACAAATCTTCCCTAAGCCCTACAGTAAAGGAAATGCTGATGCCAATCATTGATTATGGGGATGCAGTATATGCACCTGCACCGCAAGCCCACCTTAATAAACTTAACACATTGTATAACTCGTTCTGCCGATTTGTGCTACAATGTAATTACAGGACCCACCATTGTGACATGCTAAAAGAACTAAATTGGCTGTTGCTGGAATCCAGACACTTCCTTCATCTTTTCAGCCTTGTGTTTAAGAACTTTTCTGGGAAGCTCCCACCCTACCTGAGCAGAATGCTCTCCCTGGCTGTTCCCACCTCCTATAACCTCCGATCCAGTACCAGCACTTTATTTAGTCTACCACAATACAAAAAGAAAGCAGCCCGATCCTCTTTTTCCTACAGAGCACCGCAATTATGTATCGACCACCTGCACACTTTCAAATCTTCCCCAAGCCTAAAATCCTCTAAGAGATCCCTCTCTACATACCTCAAAACAGAATGCACCTGTCATGGTTGATTTTATATTTCCTACTTGTTCTATGTTAAATTTTGTATATAATATGTATTAATATTGTTATTGTACCCTATTGTATCAATGCAATGTTTTGTGGACCCAGGACATACTTTAAAACGAGAGAAAGCTCAATGTATCTTTCCTGGTAAGATATTTAATAAATCAAATAAATCCTTATTGCTCTTACTGTAAACCCTCCCTCCCCCCCCAAAAAAACAAAACACTTTTCTTTGCCTTAGATGAAATCTACTTTCTTCCAGCCTAAATGTGTGACCCTGTGTCCTATGTATAGCCCTGTTTATGAATAGATTTCCAGATAATGGTTTGTATTGGCCCTAAATATATTTGTATAATGTTATCATATCCAGGGCCGTCTTTAATAATGAATGGACCCTGGGCAAGTGTTTGCTTGGGCCCCCTGTGCCCTGCTGCTCTCGCCCCTCACTCCCTGGTATGCAATCACGGCATCCATCCCAACGCAGTGGCGGTACTAAAGTAGAATGAATTTTATTGGGACCCCCAATTGCAAGGTTGGACTAAAGGTAGAACCCCATCTATCGTGCAACTCCAACAATGCTTTGACAGCTGGGACTCTACCAATTTCCCATGCTTGCAGGGTTGTATTTAGCACTGAGCCATGTTAGTATGTTTGAATGTAAGCATGTGTTTGTATGGAGTATGTTTGTGTGAATGTGTTTGTATATGGTACTGGAGTTTGAATGCAAGTGTGCATTTATGTGTAGTGTTTGTTTTTGAATGTAGGAGTGTGCTTGTATGTAGTGTTGACGTTTCAATGCAGGAGTGTGTTTTACATGTAGTGTTGAAGTTTGAATGGAGGGGTGTATTTGTATTTAAAGTTGCGGCTCAGATGCACAGGTACACACTCTGATGCACAAGCAGATACACAGATACATACACTGACTACATACAGATAAACAGGCACATACACTGACAGACACACTGACACAGGTACATATATTGACACACACACAGACACATACACTGGTAGACGTACTGACAGACATACTGGCACAGGCACATATACAGACATACTGACACACAGACACATATACCGACATACTGACACACACACACAGACAGAAATGCGCAGCCACCCACACACACTGAAACAGATATACAGTACTCACGCATACACTGAAATACTGACACACACACAGGCACATACACTGACACACAGACTGATATACTGACACACACACACAGACATACTGGCACACAGACAGATATACTGACACATGCATACACATGCACTAACAGACATACTGACGCACTGACAGACATACTGACACATACACATACTGACACACACAGATATACACACACATATATACTGACCCACACACACACACAGACATACTGACACACACACAGACATGTTGACACAAACACACATACACTAACACACACATACACTAACACACATATACACTAACACACAAACACACACACTAACACACACACACTAACACACATACACAAACACACACACTAACACACATACACAAACACACACACTAACACACATAAACACACACATACATACACTAACACACACATACACTAACACACAAACACATACACTAACACACATACACTAACACACACAAACACACACATACATACACTAACACACACATACACTAACACACAAACACTAACACACACAAACACATACACACTAACACACACATACACTAACACACACATACACAAACACACACTAACACACATTATTTATTTTTTTAAATGTAATCCCCCCAGCCTCCTTACCTTTTGGAGTGCTGGGGGGATTCCCTGGGGTCCAGTGGTGCTGCTGGGCTCCTGGGCGGGTGGCCGGTCGGGCAGGAAGGCGGGCGCGCGAGGGAGCACTCACTGCTTCCTCTTTAGCTCCCTCGCGCGCCGCATAGGGATGCCGATGCCGGAAGATGATGTCATCTTCCGGCTCCGGCATCAGTGCGGTGCGCGAGGGAGCTGAAGAGGAAGCAGTGAGTGCTCCCTCGCGCGCCCGCCTTCCTGCCCGACCGGCCACCCGCCCGCCGGGGTCAGCGGGGCCCACGGGGCAGGTGCCTCGGGCCCCCCAAGAGAAACTGGGCCCGGGGCAGCTGCCCCGTTTGCCCCGCGTTAAAGACGGCCCTGATCATATCCCCTCTGATGCGCAGTTTTTCCAAACTAAAGCGATTTAAATTTTTTAACCTTTAACTAAAATGCTCCATTCCTTTTATCAATTTTGTAGCTCGTCTCTGCACTTTTTCTAGTGCCATGATATCCTTCTTTAGAACAGGTGCACAAAATTGCACAGCATATTCAAAGTGTGGTCTTACCAGCAATTTATAAAGAGGCACAATTATATTTTCATCCTGAGAATTTATGCCCCTATTTACAAATGACAAAACCTTACTGGCCTTAGCAACTGCAGATTGACATTGCATATTGCTGCCTAATTTGTTGTCTATAACAATTCCCAAATCTTTCTCGTGTGTGGTTATCTCTAATTCACTACCATTTAGGGTGTAAGTTGCTTGTGCATTCTTGACCCCCGAGGTGCATAACTTTGCATTTCTCTACATTAAATTTAATCTGCAATTTTACTGCCCAATCCCCCAATCTATCTAAATCTCTCCGCAGCAAAGCAATATCCTGCTCACATTTTAATACTTTACAAAGTTTTGTGTCATCTGCAAACTCTGAAACATGGCTTTCAATGCCTATTGCAAGATCATTTATAAGTATGTTAAATAGAAATGTTCCCAAAACAGAACCCTGAGGGACCTCACTTACCACTTTTGTCCAGGTGGGGTTCCTCATGCATCAGCTCACTGATGAGGCATTTGAGTGGGCTAATACCATATGGGAGGCTAATTGTTCTCTGGTTCATGATTTCCAAGGTTTTCTTATAGCTTCTTATAGCTTTTCACAGGACCTTTGACACTACCAGCAGGGCTAAAAATACAGCTAAAGCATATATGAGAATCAAACAGGGATCCAGGTCGGTTGCTGACTACGCTATCCAGTTTCGTACCTTGGCTTCTCAGGTAGACTGGACAAACAGTGGGCTTGTTACAGCATTTATGGAAGGTCTATCAGATGCTATATTGGATGAGGTAATGGCCAGATAACTTCCTGTATACATGGAGGATCTTATTGACTACCTCTTCAATATAGAAAATAGGATTCATGATAGACAGTACACCAGGGATAGAAATAGATGCCTTACTGTATTTGTTATGACTAAGGTTGATGTTCCTGAGATTTCCACTGTAACAGAGTAGAACCTATGCAGTTAGGGGTTACCTAGCTTACTGATGCAGAAAAACTGTATAGGAGGAAGGACTCTGTTTTTACTGTGGCAAAAAAGGCCACATACAAAGAGAGTGTCCTGTTCAGTCGGAAAACTCCGGCACTTAAGACTGCATAGGGAACCGGCCTTGGGTGTGACATCAGAGTCCCCACATTCGCTTCTAAACAGACTGCTTCTCCCTGTTTCCCTGCGTTTCAACAGTTTCATAGATATGGGGAATGTTCTGGCCCTGGTTGATTCAATTGCGGCTGAGAACTTCATTGATTCCTACTTTGTAAAGTCATGCAAGATACCCTTAAGGGAGAAGGAAACACCCTTGAGCATTGAGGCCATAGATGGTAGACCATTATGTTCCCTCGTGATTACTCACGAAACAGAACCCCTGCATATGTCTACAGGGTTGTTGCATATCGGAATTATTCAGTTCCAGGTCATTTCTTCTCCTTCTTCTCAAAGCGTATTAGGGTATCCTTGGTTGCTTTTACACAACCCCACTCTTAATTGGGAGTCAGGTCAAATAGAATCATGGAGTACCAAATCTCATGAGTCTTGTATCACCAAAGTTACTCCTTTGAATTGTATTAACGTACCCACAGCTCCTCCTTTGTCTACTGTTATACCTCATCAGTACATGTCTTTAAGAGCGGTATTTGACGAAAGAGAAGTTACCACCCCATAGACCGTACGATTGTACGATAGATTTTACTACTTGGTTCCATACCTCCCAAGGGGAGAGTGTATCATTTGTCTCCCCAAAAGAACCTTGTCATGGAGGAGTATATCAAGGAATCATTACAGAAAGGATTTATCAGGAGATCCTCTTCTCCAGCCAGTGTAGGCTTCTTTTTTGTATCTAAGAAAGAGGGTTATTTAAGACTGTGTATTGACTACAGGGGTCTTAAAAAAATCACTATCAAAAATGATTTTCCCATTCCATAGATAATGGAATTGTTTGATAGACTTAAACAGGCTACAGTATTTACTAAGCTGGATCTCCCGGTTCCTACAATCTAGTATGTATTAAAGAGGGTCATGAGTGGAAGACTGCCTTTAAAAGAAGGAGTGGTCACTTTGAGTACACCGTGATGTCTCTGTAATGCCCCAGCAGTGTTTCAGGATTTTACCAATGTTGTCATAAGGGAGCACATACACACGTTTGTAATAGTGTACCTGGACGACATATTGATATATTCACCTGATCGCGAACTCATCATATGCATGACAGACAGGTTTTGAAGACTCTTTTTGTTAACGGCTTCAACTGTAAACTCGAGAAGTGTCTGTTTGACCAAGCTGAAGTGCAATTCCTGGGCTATCTAGTTTCTGCTATTGACTTTCGTATGGATCCCAAAAATCTTTCTGCAGTTGTAGACTGGCCCTTACTTCATGGTTTGAAAGCCATCCAGCGATTTATTGTCTGCGCAAATTATTATAGATGTTCCTCTATTATTGCACCCATTACCAGATTGACATCACCCCTCCTCCTCACACCATCACCCCCACTCTCATCATCACCCCCCACTCTCACCATCAACCCCTCTCCCTCTCACATCACCCCTCGCTCATCATCAGCCCACCTCACCATCACCCCCCTTCCTCACACCATCACCCCTCTCTCCCTCTTACATCACACCCACTCCCTCTCACCATCACCCCTCCC